TCTCTCTCTCTCTCTCTCTCTCTCTCTCTCTCTCTCTCTCTCTCTCTCTTTCTCTCTCTCTCCATTTCTCTTTCCGCTCTTCTCGCGCATCTTCTTTCGCTTAGGTCCACGTGATATTGACTCTCAAGTTTTTGAGTGAGGAGGCATAATTAAACGGCAGACATCAAACAGCGGCATTCAACGGAATCTCATATTCCGTACAAAGTCGATCGATTTATCGATCGGTCGCGCTCTCTTACGACGCTCTCGACAGAAAAGGCGCGCGAGCGGGAACGCGAGGACGACGCTCCGAAAAACTAGCTACTCGGACATTCGAGGACCCCCCGAGACCAAACGATTAGGGTAGACGGTCGGGAACGAGCAACGGCGTGGCGATGCGGGGTCCATCCAGCACGACGAATCGATTGCCATTAATATCGATACCTGCGGCGTGAACAAAAGAGACGCGCCTCTTTTACCTAAGAATCGACCACGCGCGTATTTACACGTTCATTCGTTCCGCATTCATACTCGCATCTTTTTTACATCATTTTATTTCTTTGCTCGCCTTACAACGGTACTATTCACACAGTCTCGAAATATCGACAAGAAATCGACCAATGCCTCCTGCAGCACTCTATTTTTTATCCATTTCCCCCCTTTTGACAGCAGACAAGCGGTTAGAATTTATATTTTGCAAATATGTATCAACATATAAAATATACACATAAATATATTGCCAATATGTTTCCAAGTCTATATAATATAATATATATTTATATTACATATATATAATATTCAAATATACTTTAAAATAATGTTATAATATTAACAAATATTATAAGAATTTTAAAAAGTAACAAAAAACAGACGAGATGATCATATACGTATATATCTATTTATTTAAAAAAGTTGCTAATACTAAACTCTATTGAAATTAATTAATTTAAAAAATCAATATTATTATATAGAGTATTATAGAGTATTATATAGAGTATTATATTTTTATTTCTTTTTGATAATACAGGACATAAAAATATGCTTATGTAGTACATTAATCGTAAAATTGATTATATTCTTTTCATTATTTTTGATTTCCTGCTAGAACATTCTAGTTGCGCGTCATAATCATTTTGATCCAACAAAATTATTTTAGATCCATATCTAGCTAAATTTTATACGCTTCATTAAA